GGCTAGCTAAATTTTGTATTCTTCTCAATTGTGTATAATTATTTTTTATTACTTCTTTTAGTTTTTCATTTGATATTTGATATCTGTTTTAGAGTTCAATTAATAGATATTTATATTGAATTTTTTTTAATTTTTAATTTTTTATATTCAATGCTCAAATCTGAAACCTCTAATTAAATATGAATACACATTTATCTTTCCACACCTATATATAATGATATTTTTGTTTACTACTGACCCCTCAACCTTCTTAATTGTTCCAAAGAAAGTATAACACATTGTCACTTTTTTTTTTTTGGGGTGTAATGGGGGGACTAATTTGACAACTGCAATTCAAACCCTATCTACCACACATTAATTAAATCTATGGTCTCAAAAAATTTAAAGTCTTAAATAAATATACAATGCGATTGTTTTCTAAATTCACGTGAATCTAATATTTTAAGGATAGATCTTATCCAAATAATATACACTTCACCAAAAAGAAAACACAAATAAAAAAATAAAAGAAGAAAAAGAAAGGGATATTAATAAAAAACTATGGTCCCCTATATAATGTTTTAATTCATGAGTCATTTTGTGAGTATATAGAACACACAAAAATTGTGATTTATAATTATAGGTACTTGATATTGATATATTGTTCCTAGTTATTATATCTTTCAACCATCCATGCATTTATGTATTCTTTATGTTATGATTTTTTGCTCATTGAGATTCATATGTATTATTTTCTTCACTCCAAAATAAACGCCATTTAAGTAAAAATCACGTCGTGTAGTTTACTACTCTTAGCCTCTAGCCTTTTATCAATGTTCAAAACGTATTATATAATGCTCATGTCAATATAATGAAAAAAATAATTTAAAATATAAATTGAAGTTTATAGAATTTGAATCTCGTATAGCTAAAATATCATTTGAGACAGAGAGCATATTTGATGTCTTACATGACTACATGAGTATATATATTTATATATGAAAGTCTTAACAACCCAGCTCACTAGTGATGTTATTCTCTTTTGGCTTATGCCCGCACGAGTTTAAAACACGTCTTTAATTAGTAAGGATTGTTTACTTATAAGTTATAGGGATAAGGGTCTAAAGAATACCTCAACTTTGGTCGGATTTGCTGTTGCGATACTAAACTTTCTTGAGGACCTATTACCTCCCTAGAGTATTTAATACCGTATTTTAAACATATATATTTTCCCACGTGGACATAAAAAATAATGTAAAATTATAAATAGTAATGTGTCCACGTGGGCACATATATACCTTTAAAATACACTATCAAATAGTTCAGGGGGTAAAAAATACGGTATTAAATAGTCTAGGGAGGTAATAGGTCCTCATGAAAGTTTAGTATTGCAACAACAAATCCGACCAAAGTTGAGGTATTTTTCAAAACCTTATCCCTAAGTTATATATCCAACATCTTTCTCGTGTTTTTATCTGTAACGACCCATTAGGTCGTTTTGAGTACTAGAACTATATTGATTCTTCTCGTAAATTTTAAATAAAATTTTTGAACTATTCGTTTAACTATACGATTATTTAGTTGGTGGGTATTTATTGAATAATTATTTTTTATTAGTTGATGGTTAATTGACGAAGTCCATAATTTATTTAACACCCTTACCACATGACCCATATGTGGAAAGAAATTAGTGAAATTTACTATTGATTTATTTAGTGTTCATAATTAACTGCCCTAAATAATTAGAAGTGAGCAAGGGCCGCACTTGTACAAAGACGGCATAGGTGCCGCAGAGAAACAAAACATAAGGCCTTCAGGTACAGAGATTCTTAACCATTTTTTTTTTATACTTGTACTGAGCCTTATTTGTGTTTTTCTTTGTTCTCCTTTTTTGGAGTGCAACGAGTGTACCAACGACTTCGACTTGCCCTCAACTCTAGCCAGTCTCCAACACCTCAAGTTCCAGGGTGAGCTATTCATTCTAGCTCGTGTTGGATTCTCTCGGTCATGGCATGATGTCCTTAGTTTTCGGACATAAACTATTTTATTTATTTATCTTGTTGTCTTTGATACTCTTAGACTTAGTATTTGGAGATTAGATGTCCTTGAAGTTATGACTTTCAGGTTTTGAGAATGACATAGAGTAGACTTTAGTGGATTTGTGTTTCTTACCTTAATATGATTGAGCTTCCGCATTATGGTTTGTATTTCGTAAGTTTAACAAGTGATATATGTTGGGGTTTGGATTCATTGGTTCGCCCACCTAGGAGGTTAAGTGTGGGTGCCACTCATGACTCGTTTTGGATCGTGACATTATCGATGTGAGACTTTTTCTTAAGTTGGATGTCACAAAAATGGTATATATTTATATATATATTATTTTATCTAATGACGAATTATCATAAGAAATATTTACTATCAACTATTTAATGAGAAATTAATAATAATTTCATAACTGAATTTTTGAATTGTTATAGTGATGGATGGAAGGAAACATAAAGAAAAAAAAAGATGAAACCAAAAGTAAAAAAGCTATGGTCCCCTAATGACATGTTCTTATTTATGAGTCATTTTGTCAGTATATAAAACACATAAAAAATGTGTTAGAATTGTAAGTAATTGAGAATAAATTATATTATTTTTGTATTCTTACAAGATATTAATTCGAGGAATTTGGGTAAAAAAACATTTTATATATTCAAGGACTAAAATAAAGAAACCCTCAAACTTAATGGTCACCAATTGAGTAAAAAAACATACAATATTTAGATTTGTAAACTGGTCATATTTGTCCATGTACTCTTAGAAAAATATTATATTTACCCTTTGTCATACTTTTTTTAATATAATTGCCCTTGACATTCAATTTTGTGCACATATTTACCCTTAGACTGTTAAGTCTCATGTCCCCAAATTTTCGACTCATAATTCTATCATTAGGCAAATAGTCCAAATATGCAATTATTGGCTAACGACCCTCAATTCCCTTTTGGAAATTTTATTCTACTTTTTGAAAAAACACAAACAAATCAACTATAATTTAGTTCTCTCTTTATTTTTATTTGTCCATCCATATTCGTTGATACATCTATGAATTAAAAGTGTTTGTTGAATTGTATTCTCAACTGTTTAAATAATAAATACATTAGAAGATTTTTTGAATAATAAATACATCCATGACATTGATTTTCTTATCCTTATATTCATTGATACATGTTTGATGCAGTACACTCCTACATTTGTTGATATTTATTGTATTTTGAATGAGAAATACTATCAACACTTGTATTTCTCATTCAAAATATATCAATGACATTATATTACTCAAAATTCAGCAAATTTAATATTCAAAAATTCGACAAATTTTGCCAAATTTTCCCACACTTGTATTTATTGATACATCTACAAATTAAAACTACTTGTTGACAGAATAAAAAATACCCTTATGTATATATTCACAAAATCTTGCATGTTTGTATACAGAAACAGACATAAAATACCAATCTCGCATATTTGTACCCATTTTTGTATTTGTTGATACATGTTGTATTTTAAATGATAAATACAGTCGAGGCAAATCTAGCTGAAATTTCTCACTCTTGTATCCGTTGATACATCTACAAATTAGAAGTACTTACAAAATATTGATTTGTAAATACTTGCTGATTAATTTTCTTTTACTTTCTTAAATTTTGTGTCAAATCAAAATCATACAAACAAATTGAAACATAAAGAAGTACTACACTACACAATATGTAAAAGGAATTAATTAAGGAGAGGAGTACATTTAATTAAGCCACACTTATTTATTCCATTATTTATAGTAAGAGTACATGGATACATTATAATGAACATACATGGACCCTAATTATTTTTTCACATGTGGCTGCTTAGTTATTTCAATAATCCATTAATTAACTAACCACAGGTATTGATTTCCAGTACCACAAAATTGTCTATTTTGACAATACGGCTTGTTTAAGTGGTTGAATACCTCCACTATTAAACCAGTAGGGTAAGTGAGAATACGAGACCCGATCAAATATGTGAATGTGAATGTGAATGTAATTGAAGTATGGTTTTATTTATCTAAAATATATTGCAGTAATTGAAGCAATATAATTATTGTCAGTAACTAAATTATGTTTAATTTTGTGCTCATTTTATACGAGAAATTGAGTGATTATGATGTGACACTGAGATTGAACTTAGGACATTTGCCTATTGATATCATTTTTTTTATTTTTTTTCACTTGGTGTTTGATATATGCATTGAAGCTCGATTAATTCAGATTTGTGCTAGATAAGGCCCCATTCGAGGGTTAGCACTCCCTATCAAGAATTTTTCCATACCCAAAACTCATTTAAATATTAAAGATGAGATCAATATGATTATTTACTTAATAATTATATTTTCAACACGCTTTGTCATAACTTTTTTTAGTATTTCGCGGATGGGTGATATGACATCTACCCACTATAATATATCACGTTTAATTATATGATCATCTCATTTATATAAGCTTTAACGATTCGTCAATCCATAACAAAAGAAAATCAAAATTGGAAAAGACTACAACATAAAAGAAAATAATAAGGGTAGACAATTACATTACAATACAAATAAGGAACATTAGTTTTATTTATGTTGAAATAGTAGAGTACATGAAGACATTATATTTAATATCTCCACTTTAATTTATTTTTCATAACATAATAATGTTACTAACCCATAGTGGGAGTAACTTGAACAATGCGTTTAAAGTTAACAGCCAGAAAAACTCTGCCACAAACATAATTAAGTGGCTTAGGCATACCAGGAAATAGAAGCCTAACATCATGAACTATGGGATTTTCCTTCTGAATTATTTGTTTTGCATATTCTGCTGACTTCCCAACAAGTTCAGGCCATGATTGCTTACCTAAAATTATTACAATTATATAATTATAAATATAATGACATAATTATGTAACCATCTGTGAAATTAAATTAATTACCTGGGCATAATACAAATTCCCCATCATTTTCCACTGGAAGTTGCAGTACTTCTATGCCATCACTGATCAAATCTCTTGCCATCAGTGATTGAAAAACTGTAATTAAAATTAATAATTACATATTTGAGAGATAATATATACATATGCACGAGCATTGACAGACTTAATAGTTTTAATAAGAGGGTTCAAAATCTTGTTAGGGAGGCTTGCCGGTTAAATAAGCCTTACTAATGAGTATAAATTTGAATTAGTCGGACCAAAAGAGAATTAAGGGCTAATTACATACGTGATGCAAGAAGCAAGAAAGCAAGCACATGAGATAACTTGAGCATACTCTTTCCCTCCATTTTACTTTTAGTTTATTTTCTTTCAAATAATTGTGTGATGTGTAAGACTCATTGGTTACACATGGATATTTATAGGGAGTTAGTAAGGGGTCGGGTCAATTTTATAATAAACGTTATGGTAGGTATTGAGTAACTCAATCATCAATAATTAATGGTATATTTTCAAAATATTTGATTAAAAATATTGAAAAGTATTTTTTATCTAGTAAAAAGTGGGGAAATTTCAGAAAATGACATGACACGTTTTAAAAAAGATTTACTAGCAAAAGTAGAGATGTTATGGTCCCTAGCTATGAAATGTTTTTATTGATGAAATTTTGTCTAATGAATTCAAGTAATAATACATGAGTCCCAAATTCAAATTAAACATATATATATTTAATGAATTTCAAAACAAAATAAAATTTATGATAAATCTATTGAATTTGGTTTTGGGTTAAACATTAAAAAATTGGATAAATTATTGAGATGAAGCCATATGTACATTCGTTAGTTTTAAGAGTATACATAATATAATATACACAATTTCAAAAATTAACGGTTAGAGTATATACAATCTTAAAGTATAACAAAAAAAATTAAATATATCTCTATTTCATATAGAACAATTTATCCATCATTTGAAAAGTTTTCAACTCATAACTCAATTGTTAATCAAATGGTCCGAATATGCAATTATTGGCTAACGATTCCAATAACCTTTTGGAAATTTTATTCTCCTTTTTGAAAAATCACAGACAAATCAACCTATTTAATTTCTCTATTTTATTTTTATTTGTTTATCCACATTGTTTGATACATTGGAAGAATTTTTGAATGATACATACATCGATGACATTGATTTTCTCATCATTGTGTTCATTGATACATGTTTTGACAATTTGAAGATAAGGGACAAAATGATTTTTTGTTTAAAGCGACTAATTAAGACAAAACTATTGTTTTAATTTTAAAATTTACACACGGAATATGAAAGGGGACAGTTAAAATTGAATTACACGTAATATGCAGGGGACACTCACTGATACCACTATTTTGTAAATTATGAATTTTACAAGAATGAAACGGAAGATTTGATTTTATAGTCGTTAACAAATATTTTATAGTTATATGATTTTTTTAATGGGAGACTATGATAGAAGATCTGATTTATGCTTAATGAATAAATAGAACTATAGAGGTTGGAGCATCATTCCGAGTTTTTATTATTTTCTTTTAAATGGGAAATAATTTTGTTTCAATAAACTTTTGGATTTAAATGAAGTAAAATTCATTTAAAGTAGTTTTTTTTGATAATTAAAATTTTATATACCAAAGTGAACATTACACACTGGAAAAAAAAAACAGCAGACTTGGACATACATGCTCCAAGACTTGCTGAAACACACACTCTATCTATCAGCCTTCTCTCACAGCTTCTCTCCTAAGGGTATACATTGAGTTCTTGAAGTCTGTTGCCTATCTTCCCATAATGGGATCCTCTTCCATGTACTCTAATGATGTGTCTAATCATGAACTCCTCATTTCTCTGTTTGGACTGAAAGATTTTGTTGTTGTGCTCTATCCACACATGATAGATGGTTCCTGCCATAACTGAAACTTCTTTCGTTTTTAAAAAATCAATAAAATTGCCTCAAAATAGGGGGGAAAAAAGAAACTTAATTAATTTATTGGTAATTTGACTTCTTTATTTTATAATAACAAGGCTAGCTAGATTTTGTATTCTTCTCAATTGTGTATACCTTTTTTAGTTTTTCATTCGGTATTTGATATCTGCTTTGGAGTTTAATTAATAGAAATTTATTCTGAGAAGTTTTTTTTTTATATTCAGTGCTTAAATCTGAAACCTCTATTTAAAGATGAATACGTATTTATCTTTCCCCACTTATAATGATATTTTTGTTTGCTACTGGTCCCTAAACCTTCTTATTTGTTCCAAAGAAAGTATAACACATTATCACATTTTATTTTTATTTTTTGGGGTGTAATGGGGGGACTAATTTGACAATTGCAATTCAAACCCTACCTACCACACATTAAATAAATTTATGGTCCCAAATATTTTAAAGTCTTAAATAAATATACAATGCAATTGTTTTCTGAATTCACGTAAATTCAATATTTTAAAGATAGATCTTATCCAAATAATATACACTTCACCAATAAAAAAGTACAAATAAAAGAAACAAAAAGAAAAAGAAAGGGATATTAAAAAAAAAAACCTATGGTCCCCTATAAAATGTTTTTATTCATGAATCATCTTGTTAGTATATAAAACACACAAAAAATGTGATTTATAATTATACGTACTTGATATTGATATATTGTTCATAGTTATTATGTCTTTCAATCATCCATGCATATACATACTCTTTATGTTATGATTTTTGCTCATTCATATTCAATTATATTATTTTCCTAACTCCAAAATAAACGATATTTAAGTGAAAATCACGTTCGTTTAGTTTACTACTCTTGGCCTCTAGCCTTTTTTCAATGTTCAAAAAGTATTATATAATGCAACTCTTCTCATGTCAATATAATAAAAAAAAATATTCTTTAAAATGTAAATTGAAGTTTGTATAATTTGAATCTCGTTTAGCTAAAATATCATTTGAGACAGAGAGCGTATTTGATGTCTTACATGACTACATGAGTATATATTTATATATGAAAGTTGTAACGGCCCAGCTCGCTAGTGATGTTAGTCGCTTTTGGCTTATGCCTGCATGACTTTAAAACACATCTTTAATTGGTAAGGACTGATTTCTTATAAGTTATATATCCAACACCTTTCCTATGTTTTTATCGATGTGAGACTTTTTGTCTTAAGTTGGGTGTCATATATATATATATTATTTTATCTAATGACGGATCATCATAAGAAATAATTACTATGAACTATTTGATAAAAAAAAATAAAAATTTCGTAGCTGAATTTTTGAATTTTTATATAAAAAAAGAAGCTATGGTCCCCTAATGTAATGTTCTTATATTTATGAGTCATTTTGTCATATACAGAACATATAAAAAATGTTTTATAATTGTAAGTATTTTTAATATTGATATATTGCTCCTAATTATTATGCCTTTCAATTTATTAAATTGCGTGTGAATCCAATATTTTCTATTAACCATGCATTTACTATTTAGATATCTCTGATATTTTTATAAGTAATGGACACAATTATTTCTTTATTTTTCGTATACTTATGTAATGACCCTAAAGGTCATTTTTGGAAATTTTCATAAAATGACCGTTTTACCCCTCCCTATAGTTGCCCCGAGTCCTAATTGTTGTATTTTCAAAGTTGGTTTGAAGTAAAATTGATGAAAAGTTGAGTTTTTAAGAGTTAAAGTTTGGTTAAAAGTGCTATTTCGAGTCATTTGGAGTTTCGAGACTCGAATCGGATTTCCGTCGATTTTAGCAGTTTTAGAATGTTGAATCGGGTCTATGAGAATTTACGGAGTCGAATTTGGAGTTAAAACGAAGATTTGAGGTCCTAAGTTGCAAAAATTGTGAAATTTTGATCAAGAGTTGACTTTGGTCAACAAACGAGGTTCCGGTGCTCGAAATGGAATTCCGAGGGCACCGTTGGATTCAGGGGGTGATTCTAAGTCTAGAATGAGTCTTGGTTGAATTTTTAGAGGCCCCGAGTGCGTTTCGAGTATTTGAGCCTAAAGTTAGTTTCTTGACGCCTTATCGGATACCGGGTCAAGGAGACCTCGAATTCAAATTCCGACAATTTCATTGAGTCCGAAATGTCATTTTCAAGCTAGTAGAATATTTGGTTTGTGTTCGGGAAGTGCCAAATGAGTTTTGGGTGAGCTTTTAAGCTTCTTGGATGCTTTGACACTATTTCAGCAAATTGTGGCAACTAAAGGGTTCATTATTAGTTTTAAAGGTCGAAAAATTATTCCGAAGGTTCTGAAATTTTGAGCATGAATTATAGGACTTATCTGCAAATTTTGGTGCATTTTCGCTAATCCGAGATTGGACTTTTATCGCAAATAAGAAATAATTGTTTACCGAGTAGAAATGATATTTGACTGGGCAAACGAGCATGAAATTGAGCTCCGATTGAACGAGCAGGTCCGTATCATTATTTAAGACATTTACAAAAAAGAATTGGGTCATTTCACTATCGTATGAGGAAATTACGGCCTTTTTAGTGAAAGATTAACTGTTGTTTTTCTGGTGCATAACAGTCATGCAAACAACAACAACAACAACATGCCCAGTGAAATCCCACTAGGTGGGGTCTGGGGAGGGTAAAGTGTATGCAGACCTTGCCACTACCTCGTGGAGGTAGAGAGGTTGTTTCCGGGAGACCCTCAGCTCAAGAACAACAAATCTAAGTGACAGGAGAGATATATATAAAACATAACAGCCAATACAAAAGATAGCGTATAATCAACAAATGAGATAATAACAACAAGAAAGTAATGCGATGCGTGAAACGCAGTAAACAACACAAGGCTAGGTCTACTCCAAACGCTAACAACCCATACCCTTGCATGGGAAGACAACACGCTAACCCTACTAACCTTCAACCTTTATACGCGACCTCCACTCCTTCCTATCTAGAGTCATGTCCTCGGTAATGTGAAGCATAGCCAAGTCTTGTCTAATCACCTCCTCCCAATACTTCTTGGGCCTACCTCTACCCCTCCGCGTACCCTCTACCACCATTACCTCGCACCTCCTCACTGGGGCGTCTGCGCTCCGTCTCTTCACATGTCCAAACTATCTCAGTCTCGCTTCCCTCAACTTGTCCACCACAAAGGCCACTCCCACCTTCTCCCGGATAACCTCATTCCTAATCTTGTCGCTCCTAGTTTGCCCACACATCCATCTCAACATCCTCATCTCCGCAACATGCATTTTATGAACGTGTGCGTTCTTGACTGGCCAACACTCCGCTCCATACAACAAGGCCGGTCTAACTACCACTCTGTAAAACTTACCTTTAAGTTTCGGTGGAATTTTCTTATCACACAATACTCCAGA